CTGTGACGCTTGCTTTCTCACTTTCCCTTTCTCTCTCTGTCAAATTAAAATAATAATAATAATAATAAATAAAATTAAGTCATTATTTTTTTAAGAATGAAGTGTATTACAAGTTTTGTTTTTCTAATTTCATAGGGCTCCCTCTTCTTGTTGTTGTGTAGTGTTCAAAAATATGAGTGCTTTCTAGAATTTCTTTTGCTGTATTCTCCTTTAATCTGGACCTACATTTTTCCTTATCTTGCATAGTTTTTATTCCATTCCCAGGAGTTTCTCCACGTGAGGAATACTATACTAAAAGGAAGCCCTGGCGGTCAGTTTTGACAGTTCTTAGGGGCTAAACGGCTCCGAATCCTTCAGTCCTTCTATCATATGCCTCAGGCATGCACCTAGTATTAGAGAGGTCAAATCCCTTCCCAATCTTAGCTGCTGCTTCTAAATTGGCCGCTCCACTTTCCAGAAAATTCTTATGAGCTCTTCTGGTGTTCTTCTATTCTCAGGGTTATAAGATGATATCCCTGATGCTTCTATCTTCTTGCTCTCACTCAGAACCTAACAGTGGGACCAGCAGTTAGCATAATGGCTATGTCGCTGGACTCCCATGTAGTCGACAGTGGTTTGCATCCCGGACCCGGTGGCTTAAACTCACGCCGGGCACGTGTGCATGCGTACATGCCCAAGATCCCGAGAGGAGAATGGAGAAGGGATTGCGGCATAGCCATCCCCCCTGGGGGGTGATTTCTTGCTTTCTATCTCTCTGTCTGCCTGGCGAGCGCACGCGCCCTATAGCAAAAACCTCTCAAAAAAGAAATAAAAAAAAAAAGAACCTAACAGCATGGCAGTCCTGTGACTGGTGGTTTGTTCCGACCTATTCAAATTCTGAGATTCATAGTGATGAATTGTCATCTAGTTTTGTTGTAGATGTTGCCCATAGGGGTTGGCTTTGCTATTTCCATTTTTAATTGGGGACTCAGATTGAAAAGCTATGCTGGCCTTTCTGCGCTACCCGCACAAGGGCGCATATGGCATTGTTCTGGATTCCTGTCGTAACTTAAAGGGAAACTCCCACAATGTCTGGAAACCTTGATATCTTGCAAATGAAGGAGGAGGATGTCCTCAAATTCCTTACAGCAGGAAAGCACTTTGGTGGAACCAACCTTTACTTCCAAATGGAACAGTACATCTACCAAAGAAAAAGTGATGACATCTACATCAAAAATCTAAAGAGGGGGCCAGCAGATGGTGTAGTGGTTCAGACACTGGACATTCCCACATGGTTGACCACAGTTTTGAGTCCTGGACCTGGTGGCTGGCTTTCTTACTTTCCCTCTTTCTCTGTGTGCCTTTCTCTGGTCAAATTAAAATAAATGAATGAATAAAAATAATAATTCTGGAAAAAAAAAAAAAAAAAGCTAAAGAGGACCTGAGAGAAGCTTCTGCTGGCAGTTCATGCCATTGTTGTCATTGAAAATCCTGTGCCATATCTTCTAGGACTGCTGTCACTGGAGCCACTTCTATTGCTAGGTGCTTCACTCCTGCAACAATCACTAACCAGGTCCAGGCAGTCTTCCAGGAGCCACACCTTCTGGTGGTTACTGATCCCAGGGCCAACCACCAGCCTCTCACAGAGGCATTTTATGTTACTCTACCTATCATTACTCTGTGCAACACATACTCTCCTTTGCACTGTGTAGACATTGCCATCCCATGCAACAAGAGAGCTCACTCAGTGGGTCTGACGTGGTGGATGCTGGCCAGAGAAGTTTTGTGCATGCATGGCACCATCTCCTATGAATACCTGTGGGAGGTCATGCCTGATATCTACTTCTGCAGAAATTCTAAAGAGACGGAAAAGGAGGAACAGGCTGCTGCTGAAAAGGCTGTGACCAAGGAGGAATTTCAGGGTGAATGGACTGCTCCAGCTCCTAAGTTTACTGCTACTCAGCCTAAAGTCACAGACTGGTCTGAAGGCATGCAGGTGCCACTGGTGCCCATTCAGCAGTTCCCTATTGAAGACTTGAGTGCTCAGCTTATCACTGAAGACTGTAGCCCCCACTGCTCAAGCCACTGAATGGGTGGGAACAACCACTGAGTGATCTTAAGCTTGTTCTTTCACAGACTCCTATACAAAGTGGAAATAAGGTTGATAAGGAAAATAGTTTATAAAACAAGAAAAAGAACAAAACGCTGTGCTGTTATTGTCATCACTTTTTCAGAATTATCAGAATTTTAAATCAATCAATTAACTGAAAATCCACCACCGCTTCATATACTGGTACTATTGATTACTCCCACAGCTCAAAGAGAAGACAGGTTTAGTAACTTGTTCAAAATTACACAGATACTAAGTTGTAAAACCAGGATTCTAACCTAGATATCTTAAATTGTAACTAGATATTTTATATTGTAACATCTATATTATTTATTACAACATCCACAGGACAATGATTCATCACATACAAATATACTTTGTAGAAAATCTTTCAGTAATTTATTCTATAGAGAAAGATATATCTCTGCTAATTCTTGTTAAATAAAACTTAAAGTTTGACAAAATAAGACAAGGTCACTAAATATTCAGTAGGGAGCAAAATGAGAAGTATAAAATCTCATCACAGCCAAATCTGCAAGAAAATAACAATGAAACCCTGACTCAAATATCAGAAATTCCTTAATGACAGAACGCACTTATTAAGTAAATTAAACTTCTGGAAATTGAAGTAACCTTATCTAACCACTAGATAAGTTATGTTTATGAATAGGAAAAGAGGCTTCTAAAGTAAACAACCACGAATAACCAACCTGGCCTGTCCTGTGAAGACGGAGATATAAATAGAGGCTGGAGAGCATGCTGTGAGGAAGCAGTATTACTTGCTTGATTAGCTGCTGCACAGTTAGATAAGACTTGAACTGGAACATTATTAGCACAAGAAGCTGCAACTGCTGCAGAATTTCCCATTACCTATAAGTGTAAAAGAAAGTTCAGAAATGTAAGTTTGTTTTGTCAAACAGTATGTTTCTTACCTAATCCTAAATTTCAGGAAATAGTATTTTTTTAATAACTGAAACACTGAAAAGTCAATCTTTATTTAACCCTGATATAGGAAATTTCTTTCTTTTAGACGGTCCTATCTTACTTTTTAGAGTTTTGTTTAAATTTTTTATCTTTCTGAAAAGGTAATACATTAATGATTCAAAAATCAGAAATCAAATTGTATACTAAGAAAACTTTCCCACTAATCCCTGTCTTCCATCTGCCTAGTCATACTCACTCTAAACAGGTAACCTCTGGGTTTCCTGTACATTACTCCAGAGATTTATATTTATTCATTTTTACATGCATATACATTTTTCACACAAACACATACTTTTTAAATAGAAAAAACACTCTGCATTTTTTTATAACTTCTTAAGAGACTATAAATTATTTTTCTTCTTAGGCCACAGCACTTTGGGGGAATAGACTACTTTCCCATAGCATTGAGTACAGGACCGTGCACACAGAAATAATCAATAAATGCTAACAGACTCTTCTGGAACACACTGTCCTCAGAGGCAGTCTCCATTTCCTTACCCCCATTGCAATATGGCTACTACACCTTTCTCACTCTTCTGACACTACATTCAAAGTCAGGAGTGGCCTCCATAACAATAAGTCCTAGTTTTATTAATCAATATGCTGCTTTACCGCTTGACAGCAATTGACACTTGAGATGTTTTTAAAACATTTTCTTCCTGGAGCTTCTATATTATAACTCCCCTGCTTCTCTTCCCTCCTTGGCTGTTCCTTCTCTGTCCAGTTTCTAAAAGTTAGTGACCCACAGGCTCTGTTCTAGACATTCTACTCAATCTCTTTCTATTCTAGGATAATCTTATTAATGTCTATGGTTTCAGCTACCTTTTCTGTCCCAACTACGCATTCTACAGGAGAACTTAATAAACTTAAGTCAGTCAATAAGACAGACTTCACAAGTAACTTATATTAACTCACTCTTCACATAAGAAGTTTATAGTAGACTATGAGTAGTCTTAAATCCAGTACACAAAACTGTGTCTGGAACAACACAGGTAATCAATCACTATGATAAATGAATTACTGAATCACTATGACAAGTTCTGCAAAGTATAATAGTATCTAAAAGAACACGAGAAGTTGCTATTAAGTTTGATGATACAAAAGAAAAAAACTCAATTTTCTCTGTTCAGACCATTCTAACTGACTGCTTGATAACACTAGCAAGATTACCTTCTGAGGGTAGCTGTAAGAGATAATTGTGTCCTGAGCAGACACAGAACATGGTCTTCTGTCCTGAAGAGACTTCAATGAATAGAGAAATGAGTTAAATAAAAGGAAATCAAGAAGCCAAATAGCATATCAATACAAGATTTACTTTGTTTCAACATCTCCTATAATTGGATAAAAGTGATCTGTCCTGAAATAATTCAAATTTGGAAGTGACAATCAAGAAAATGCTCCAAATGGTATCCCTCTAGTGCCTGATTTAAGTGACTGCTCTGTTTCCTATTTACAGAGATGTTGTTTATATTGAATGTAGTTATTAAAATATAATTGAGGACTGAAAGACTAAAATTTTATGTTTTCTTAATTTTTGCTGTAGAGCATATGCACTCACCAGAGAAAGTTGAGGGAGGGTGAGAAAGCACCCCTCTAGGGGTGATGATCACACAGCAATCCCTTCTCCTCTCAGGGTTTTGGGCACAAATGCACAAGCACTCACTATGTTTTTCAAGGTGCCGGGGCTAGGACTCAAACCATGCAAATGCTAAACGATTCTAGAAAAGAATTTAGTTGAGTGTTGGGCATGGAAAGAAGAAATAAAGGACTAGCAGGTGGCATGGAGCTTAAGATGTCTGGATCCCACATAACTGACTACATGGTTTGAGTCACAAACCTGGTGACTTAAAAATCAAGTCAGGAGTATGTGCATGAGTGCCCAAGATCCTGAAAATGGACAAGAAGAGATTGTAGCATGATCATCCTCACTAGAGGTGATTTCTTGCTTTCTGTCTCTCCGGTGAGTGCATGCACTCTGTAGCAAAAAAAAAATCTCTCTCAAAAAATGTTAAGTTTATTTTGGTACAAAAAAATTTTGAAGTCTGTGCATAATTTCTCATAATATGCATTTTCCATGAATTTTTGAAGACTCTTCATATAGCAGTAACAAGAATGACTTTTCCTATGTTAAGCCACATCTTGGGGGTTGTTACTGCAGCACAACCTAGCTTGACTAAAACAGAAATTGGTAACTATAAGTAGGGTGCTGCTGTAGCAGAAACCTAGCTAAGATTACAAACACAGCTCTTGAGGAAGTGGTTTACAAAACAGAATTATAGTATTTTGTTTTGATGATAATTGGCAGATTTGAGCAAGGTATTTTAAGACAGACACATGTAGGAAAGAACTATTAGTTTGAAGAAAGGAGTGAATTGGCATAGTCTGCATACAAGAACTCATAGGGTTGAATAGTAACTGTTTCTGCCTTAAGCTATAAATGATAAAATAGATAAATTGACAGCAAAAACTCATTAAAATTTGGCCTTACAGCAAGAATCCAAATCCTGAGTACATTAAGTTATAATGGGCCCGGCAGGTGGTATGGTGATTAATGCGCTGGACTCCCACATGGCCAACCACAGCTGAATCCTGGACCTGGTAGCTTGCTTTCTCACTTTCCTTCTGGGACCAGCAGATGGTATAGTAGTTATGTGCTGGATTCCCATGTAGTTGACTGTGGTTTGAGTTCCAGACCCAGTGGCGTAAAACTCACATCAGACGTGTGTGCATGCATGCCCAAAATCCTGAGAGGAGAAAGGAAGAGTAGGGACTGAGGCGTGGCCATACCCCCCCTGGGAGGTGAGTTCTCACTTTCTGTCTCTCTGGAGAGTACACATACCCTATAACCAAAATCCCTCTTTAAGAAAAAAAAAAAAAAAAAGTTTAAAGCAAGAGTTCAATTAAGGATGTAATACCGAGTAACTCTTTGCTCATGGACAAATCTCTCATGGAAATGTGGCCAAAGGTATAGCTCTTCTATCAATCAGATAGAGAAAAACTTGAGATAAGAAAGGAAAGAATTCTGGTTATCAGTCCCTTATCTGAAGCACAGTTAACAAAAATTCTCTCCCATTCCAAGAGTTGTCGATTCACACCAATTATGGTGTCCTTTGCTGTGTAGAAACTCCTTAATCTGATGTAATCCCACCTGTCTATCATGCTGGGTTAAAGTCTCTTCACAATCTAAATGATGTATAGCAATTTAATGTATGAATAATAAATAAATAAATAGGAAGGAAAGAATTAAAACAAGTCAAAGTACAGCATATCTATTGGGTTGTCAGGAAAGTCGTGTTGTATTTTTCTTTGCAAAAATGTGTCATGACTTTCCTGACAACTCAATAAAGAGACACGAAACTAATATGAATCAAACAGAAGAATAAATTAACCTCACATCCAAAAAAACCATGAGCCAAAACTAAAATTATTCAATTGAAAAAAAAAGAAACTGTGGGTCCCCAGTCTTTTGTAAGAACAGACTGAGAAGGCTACTCAGTGGCCAGAAGAATATTCATCAATGCCTACCTCAAATATGACCAAGAAAGGAAGGGCCCTAGAGTCTGAGAACATAATGAACCAGAGAATTCCCCAGGGAACAGTACCCCATGTATATAGGGAGAAGCCCGAAGAACATCTGCCCATGAAGACCTAAGAACTGCAACAAGCCAGTAACTGTTTCTTTCATTCTCTCCTTTATTTTTACCAAAATTTTCAGTTTCTTGCCTCATCATTGTAAATTGGGAGGTGGGAGGTGGGAGGCAGAAGGCCATGAGGAAAAACAAACAAACAAACAAACAAAATCTTTGTATTTTTTATTTTAGGCCTCAAGATCAAGAAAAGCCACATTTAGGACCAGCAGGTGGCATGGTGGTTAAGGTACAGAACTCTCACATTGCATAGCTCTATAGCAAATTGAAAACTAATAATAATGATGAATAAAATTAAGTACGGGGCTGGCAGGTGGCATGGTGGTTGAAGCGCTGGACTCCCACATGGCCAACTACAGTTCAAGTTCCAAACCTGGTGGCTTGTTTTCTCACTTTCCCTGTCTCTCTCTCTCTGGGCAAATTAAAAAATAATAAATAAAATTAAAT